AGTAGGGCTGGGGAGGTCTCCGGCCTGGAGACCCTGGGGTGGAGGTTGATCTGATGCGCCGCGTACCTGACTGCAAACGGCCACAGAAAATGGGGGGCAGCCACATGCATCATAGACGTACGAGCGACGTCCATGACCATGCCAATACGGCGCTATGCAATCCCATTTTGCTGCGGTGAGTCCGGAAGCGTGAAGGTCTGACGGATGCCTTGCGCACGACAGAAGGCACGCAGAAGGCCTGAGGAGAACTCTCCGCCTCTGTCCGAGTGCAGACGCAACACAGGAAAGTCCGAGCCAAAGCTGTGCCTGAGCCGGAGACGAGCTGCGCGGATCCAGTCGATCAGCACCTCAGTGACATCACCCTTGCTGCGCAAGGGGAAGACTGTGGTGTAACGCGAGTAGTCGTCAACCACCAACAGGAAGTAGCGCTCGTGACCGAGTCCACGGACGCGGGCAGGGCCCCACACGTCCATGTGAAGCATTTGCAACGGAGCCTCTGTCGGAGGAAACTGGGAGGAGTGAGGGGCAGCACGCTGGCGCCCCTCGACACAGGGGACACAGGCAGGGCCAGGGCCCTGAGGAAGGGGAGGGAGGGACCGGGGGAGACCAGACACAAGAAGACGGGAGGCCATGCCTCTGAGCCGAAGCAGAGAAGGGTGGCCAAGGCGGTGGTGCCAGAGGAGAGTCTCGTGAGACAGACGGCGACACGAAAAGGGGGCAGACTTAGGACCAGACCTGGACGCTGCAGCTAACACCTGACCAGACAAAGGGACTCTACCAGACTCAGCACCGGGAGGAGAAGCAGTGGTCAGTGTGTACAGGCTCAACCCTGGCTGGCGTGTAAACGTAGCCAGGTGGCGACCTGTGCTAGCCTCTGTGCAGTGTGTCACCCGCTGACGAGCGGGAGTGAACTGGTGGACACCCACATCCTGTAGGTCAGCACCACTCACCAGGCTCGTAGAGAACGAGGGGAGGTAGAGACCAGTCAGGGTGCCAGAGGGAGCCGCCGGACACGGGAGGACTGTGGAGAAACGAGACAGGACAGGACCCCCAGAGGGGTCAGCCAGGGACACCGCAACCGGTCGACTAAGCGGCGTGAGAGTGGTGCGGTCCCGAAAGAAGGAGCGAGACGCCCCAGAGTGAAGGGTGAAGGTGTGAGAGGCCGAAGCCGACACAGTACCTGAGAGTGCAGACTCACTAGTACCTGGGAGCACAGACACACTGGCACCTAGAGAAGCAGCCTCACTGGCACCTGACGCAGCAGTACCAATGCCCGGGTCGGGCGAGAAACACCGGTAACAGTCACCCTCATCACTAACAGTCACAGCATACATGGCAGCAAGGATAGCATCAAAGTCAAAATCAAAGATGGCTACACCAGCCCTAGACAGCTCTCTCGAGCGGGGGATCTCAGAGGCCTCCGGAAACTGCTGACGCCAAGCGTCGGTCAAGCGGGCAAAGCAGCGGCGGGCGGTGTGGGTGCCCCCACATTGCTCACCCGCGCGGTCGCCGGTGCGAAGGACGTAGGTGCAGGGACCGAACGCCCCACCACGCTGACGCTGCGAGTACCACTCACGGAGCTGCTGAGGGGCGGGGACGTCGCAAGAGCGCTGCTGCTGCTGCTGCTGGCGCTGACCACCCCCAGTGCTGCTCCGCTGGGACGAGCCACTCCGACCACCTCCACCACCGCCACCCCCGCCTCCGTCGCCACCGCCGCCACCGTCACCCTCGCCCCCGCAGCTCCCACCGCCACCTGCACCGCCACCTCCACCGCCACCTCCGCCTCCACTGCCGCCACTAGTACCTCCACCCCCGCCACCACCTCCACCGCCACCCCCACTCCCCCCGCCTCCCCCACCTCCTCCGCTACCGCCCCTGCTAGCTCCACCCGCTCCCTTGCCCCCCTTGCCCCTGCCAGAGCGGCGCCTACCGCTGGGGGCAGACGCCGCACCGACCGACTCTAGACCAACGAGGTCGGCCGCAGCAGCAGAGGCGACAGAGGGTAACAGGGGGGAAGGAGAACACCCCTCAAAGATGGGGGTGCGGGGGTCACCACGAGAGGCCCCTACAGCGACTATGCTCTTCTCGGCCGCTAGCAAGGACTTCTCGAGGAGGTCGACAGTGAGGGTGGTGGGACAGACAGAGAGAAACTGGTCCCTAACAGCACGAAGGGACTTAGGGAGACGGGTGACTAGAAAGTAGAGGGTGATGTACATGGGAGGGGGGTTTTCGGCGCAGAAGGCAGCAGGAAGCGCATCTTGGTAGCGAGTGTCACTAGCGCGAAGGTGGGTAAAGAGGTTAGCGACTGTAGGAAAGGCAGCAAGGTCAGCGAAGAGGTACGGTAGCATGAGGCGGCTCAGCGTAGCAGAGGAAGGGGAGGAGTAGCGCGCAACCACAGCGTCGTACAAGGCCTGAGCGGTCTTGCACTGACTAAAGTGTGCGCGCTCGGAGGAAGGGAGGTGGCGACGCACAGCAAGACGTGCAACAGCATCGCGTGAGGCCCACTTGGAGCGCACAGTGGGGTCAGCATCAGCAGGAGGGGCAGGTACAGCGTCAGAGACAAAGTCAAAGAGAGAAACTTCATCTACCGTATCGCAAAGCAAGTACAGCTAAAGGTCGTTGACCCAGACCGCAAAGTCAATGGCGCGACCCTCAGCGTCAAAAGCCAGGACACTGGGGGTGGCCATGATAGCAGCTGAAAGTCTCACCGGACAGGAAGGGTCGGGTCGCTCAGCAGCACAGCAACACAGTAGCACACCAAATCCGCCGGCCCAGGAGCAGTAGCAGCTCCACAGGAGCAGGAGCTCGGCACCTCAGACGGCTCGGGCGGCTCGGGCGGCTAGGGTGGCTCGGGCACGCAGCAGCACGGGCGGCTCGGGCGGCTCTGCTGCTCGTGCGGTTCGTGCGGCTCGGGTGACGCTGGGGCTCACGGGCGGCGCGGGCGTCGTGGCGGGCGGCTCACGGGCGGCTCGCGGGCGGCTCATGGGCGGCTGCACGGGCGGCTGGGGCGGCTCACGGGCGGCTCGTGGGGTTGCTGCACGGACGGGTGCACGGGCGGCTGCACGGGCGGTTGCACGGGCGGTGCACGGGCGGCTCACGGGCGGCTGCACGGGTGGCGCGTCGGGCGGCAGCACGGGCGGTTGCACGGGCGGCTGCACGGGCGGTTCACGGGCTGCTGCACGGACGGCTGTACGGGCGGCTGCACGGGCGGCGCGTCGGGCTGCTGAGGGCGACGCACGGGCAGCCCACGGGCGGCTAGCGGGCGTCGGGCGGCGCGCAGGCGACGGGCGGGTAGTGGGCGCCGGGCGGCTAGCGGGCGTCGGGCGGCTAGCGGGCGTCGGGCGGCTAGCGGGCGTCGGGCGGCTGGCCCGTCGGGCGGCTAGCGCACGGGCGGCCCTGGGTGGCGCACGGGCGGCTCTGGGCAGCGCGCGGGCGCTAGGGCGCTAGGGCGCTAGGGCGGGCAGCGGGTCGTGAGAGCGCTAGGGCGCGAGGGCGGGCAGCGCGCGGGCGCTAGGGCGCTAGGGCGCGAGGGCGTGCAGCGGGGCGCGGGCGCTAAGGCGGCGCTCGGGCTGCTAGGGCGGGCGGCGCGCTAAGGCGGAGCTCGGGCCGTAGGGCAGATCGAAAAAAAAGTAAGAGCAAGGGCCCGGAGCGCGCTCCGGGCAGAAAAAAAAAATCGATGTGGTGGGCCCTAAGCACAGTTCCCACGGGGGAACCTGCTCGATACCATGACAGAATTAGAACGAGAATGAAATGACTATGAACGAAGTGAGTACAAATAGGAAACCCTAGTTGGGTTGTACCCCCTATGGGATACCCCACTATAGCCTACACAAATAAGTAAGCTATAATATTCTGACAATAGCGCTGTTGTGCAATGAGATATTATGAAAAGCAAGATGACTTGGAGGGGTAGGACAGGTTGGCACATCTGCATGGGCATAGTGTAGATCGTGAGATGCTGTATAAGCTAATGGCGTGTTGTAATTCAAACCATTGTTAGCTCCAGGTTTGTAGAACTACGATTACCCAAACATCACAGGACAAATACACATGTCTTCACGACAAGATGCTTCTGTATGTGGTTGTTATGGAGTTCGAGAAATCCCGATGCATGGCAAACACGAACATAACACTTCCCTTCCCACATCCTGTTGTATAAATGCCCACCAACCATGACTTTTCAATCATGATGACACACTAGGCAAGCTGGGCCATGCTGTTGTATGCTCACTAGATGCGCACCTATTGTTGTCATGCTTGTCACACTAGGCTTGACTTTTAGAATGTACATAACGTTAAGTGTCAACACCATCGTGTGCTCCTACTGTGGACAAACACTGGTGGCCATTGCCCTTTTCCGCCTACGGTACTTCTCTGGCTTTTGCCCATTCTGTCACTCTCTCTTCCTATCCATCCCCAGCTTCTCAGGTTGATTCGTGATTTATTACAGGTGCACTATATGCGGGACGAGACACCTTGTGTTCTGGACTCTTGCTACCGATGAGTTTAGGGGCTGTATGCTCTCTTTTTGTGCGTGAAATAGAATATCCAGCGTAGCATGTTACGAACGAAACCAGCCTATCTGATTTACAGGGTGGAATGTGAGTTTATTCATATTCACCAATGGACAAGTCTCACACACAATTTAATGTGAACCTAGCAAGTGTATACTTGACTAATTGTACTGATGGTTATATAGATATGTAAACCTACAAGAGGAGGATCTGTGGGACGCACGTTTGAGGTTCGCCACACCCACGCTATGGTCACAATCCTTCTATTTAATAAAAGACATAATGCACACCTAATACTGCTGATTATTGCCATCACCGTTCTCAGCTCCACCCTGTTCTGTTGACCAAGTACGAACTCCAGTCACCAACCCGTCCACCCGACTCTGCTGTGGCATACCTACATGGCTCCAACGGTTTAGGATGCCTCCTGAGTTCTCCTGCATTGGCATCCCATACAATCCCCACCGTTGATCGATACCACTGTTACTAAATTGCCTTTGTAACAACCCTCCCATTCCCTGCTGCCCGCCCATTCCCTGCTGCCCGCCCATTCCCTGCTGCCCGCACCTTCCCTGCTGCCCACCCCTTCCCTGAGGCCCTCCCATTCTCTGTGGCCCTCCCATTCCCTGTGGCCCTCCCATTCCCTGTGGCCCTCCCATTCCCTGTGGCCCTCCCATGCCCTGTGGCCCTCCCATTCCCTGTGGCCCTCCCATTCCCTGTGGCCCTCATAATATCTGCGGCTCTCCCATTCTCTGCCGCCCAACCATTCTCTGCTGCCCGCCCATTCCCTGCGCCCCTCCCATTCCCTGTGCCCCTCCCATTCCCTGTGCCCCTCCCATTCCCTGTGCCCCTCCCATTCCCTGTGGCCCTCCCATTCCCTGTGGCCCTCCCAATGTCTGCGGCTCTCTCATTCTCTGCAGCCCTCCCATTCCTTGCTGCTCGCCCATTCCCTGCTGCCCTCCCAAACAATCTGGCCCCCCCATTCCCTGCTGCCAACCCATTCCCAGTGCCCCCCCCATTCCCTCCTGCCAACCCATTCCATGTGGCCCTTCCATTCCCTGCTGCCAACCCATTCCCAGTGGTCCCCCCATTCCCTGCTGCCCACACGTGCCATGCTGCCCTTGCATTCCCGGCTGCCCTTCCAACCCTTGAAGCCCTCCCGTTTCCTCCTGCCCATCCCTCCCTTGCTGCCCTCCCCTTCCTTGCCTCCCTCCTCTCCCTTGCTGCCCTCCCCTTCCTTGCCTCCCTCCTCTCCCTTGCTGCCCTCCCCTTCCTTGCCTCCCTCCTCTCCCTTGCTGCCCTCCCCTTCTTTGGCGCCCTCCCCTATCAGGACCTTCCAAACAATCTGCGCCTCCTCCTTCTTCTGTGGAAGACACCACCCCGGACCTGCCTCTACCTCTCCCTCCACCCCTTCCCCGTTGATTTCTACCTCGTCCACGCCCTTCCTCCGAATGCCCCACATGCACATCGTCGTCGCCTACGTGCCCCACCACTTCCCCCTGTATGTTGAGACATTGCAACCTCCGTAATCGCCCCCGAACCACGTCGTCCGCACTCCTCAGGCCACCCCCCTTTGAAGTTCCCTCACCAGTACTACTTCCTTGCGCACCACCCAAGTGCAACCCTTCGGAACCGGCCCCCATATCATCCATCACTGTTTCGGGAGGGAGATCCCCGGCAGGTACAAGCACCCTCCCAAATATTTCCGTCAACACCGAATCTGCCGGTGTGCTCCCATTCTCCTCTCCATCCCCCTCATCTTCCCCGCTGCCCGACTCCTCGTCCGGTTCGCTCTCATCGTCACTCTCACCAGTGGTATGGATACAATGAATACCTCTCCGATGACTTCGGTTACATGCGCTACAAGGGGCTACATGTACCGCGCCGTCCGCCGTGGTCATCGTCTGCACAGCCAATTGCCCTGCTGGGGTTTGTAATGCCTCCCACAACACCCGGTTTGTAGCCCGGACCTCACATGTCCTAGAGTTATGCCCCATCTCACCACATTTGCCACACTTGCGTAGTTTGATAGGGTCGACCTCTCCTGTCGAGCGAATCCTGTTCTTTTTTGGCCGGCCTGCCCTTTTGGAGTAGACTGGCGGTAGAGTAATGCCATCCGGGATCACTGACGTGGGGTCGAGGGTCCGAATCGGGGTCTTGTACACCTGCTGCAGCGCCGAAACCGTGTGGCTGTTGTGTATCACAGCGTGGGCCTTGTGCCCTGCATTCTTGAACACAACAAAAATGTGGACGCACGGCAGCCCATACTCCCTGTTGTTGGGGTATGGGGGTATTGGTGTTGTGGAATAGGATGGTTGGTTATTGAAATGATTGGTCAAAGAAACACATACACATAGTCATGCGCTCAAGCTGTAGACGTAAAGAAACAGTCCCATATGTGGCATACAGTCCCTCCCATCCATGGCCACCACTTTTTCCCTTGCTGCCCCCCCTTATGTCGTCGTCCCCCTTTCGCATGCTGCCTTACATTCGCTTGCTGATCCAGCCCGTGTTGTTTGGCACAATATCCCTCCCTCCATCGATCTGACCCCCTCTCCTACTGCCTCACTTTCCATTGTTGCCCTCCTATGCCCTTCCTTGCTGACCCCATTTCTTGCTGCCCCCATCTCCCTTGATGCCCTGCAAGATCCCCCCCCCTCCCCCACCCCCATGCTGTCTTCACATTCCCTGGTGCTCCCCAAACCTTGCTGCCCCCATTCCCTTGCTGCATGCCCTACTTATTGTACCCCTTGCTCTTGCTGGGCTCCCATGTCTTACCTGGTGTAACCACACGTGCAGCTGGTTGCTGAAGGATTGTTGGGGTTAGTAGTCACGACTCTCGATTCCACCTTCAGCTCCCCCTCTCCTCGGCTCACAATGAAACGGTTCTCGCCGGACCCTTCAGCATCGTATCTCTTCCCTTCGTTGCAGTTTGCCTTGATAATTGGTCGTGTCCTTGGCGGGAAGACCGCACCAGTGAGTTGTGAGTACTCGAGGCGCCTCTTTTCAATACTCTTTGAGAGCTTGGCCGTCAAGAGGTGCAACACTTGAGGGGGACTTTTGTCACGCAGCCCTGAGAGTGATGCGTGGTGTGACTCAACGGGATTGGAGGTCATGCAGCCAAAACGCGGAGCACCGAAGTGCGCCGAGGCCCACTTCTTATGCAAATTGTTGTCAACAAGATATGCCTTCCCACCAGGGCATTCTTGCTCGATTTTCTCCATCGTTTTGTGGTAAACCCCCGGAGTAAGAGCCGCTGCAGCTGCGAGGATCCTCCCATCCAAGTCTGTCCGAAACTTGTTTTTGAAATTGCGCACCAAATGAGTGATGCAATATGACTCCCGTATTAGGGGGAGACAAGCTGCTGTCGCCGACTTCCATGCACCTCCCCTATCATGCATAATCACAAAATCGGGGGAGTTCACCTCCGGTACTGCCTCTAGCAAGAGTTGAAAGAGAAAGGTACACGACTGCTTGTTCTCACCCTCGACCCACGCACACCCCAACCTAACAAGCTGGTGTTGACTGTCCAGCATGCAAATGTTCAAAGTGTAACCCCCCCATCTCGTCTTATTATGACAACCATCTGCAAAAAGGATAGGCAAACAGTTCATACCAGACTCCTTGGCACCTGGATAGATGACACCGGCCCGATAGAAGTTGTTACCCTGCCTCACCAATGACACTTTACACGACGGGTTTTCGACCTCAAACTTTCTCAGCAGGTCCTCCATGTACTCGAATCCTTTATCTCCCCCAAAAAGCTCATCATCACTCAACTCCCAAAGCACCTCCCGTGCGAGAGTATAAGAATACTGCACACCCAGCACCTGATGAACACGGCTCATCAACGCTGCCGGTCTAACCTCGCCGTGCATTCTCATCTCACATGCAACCTCTATCACCTCTTCTCGTTGGACCCTAGCTGCACCGACTGTACACCTATCCGCATGCTCCAAATGAGCTGTCGTGACCCTGAGGTTATCACAAACAGGCCCTCGAACGATGATACGAAAAGGGCATAGCCCGGCGTCACTACTCACCTCACGTTTGGGCCAACCCTTCCCCTGCATACTCTTGCATCGCACCTCAATGAGATCGCTACGATTGTAATGAAAGTACGAAGATACCATCTGTTGCCGACAGTACAGCCGCACATCTGCCCTCACCGCGTCTGCAGTAGGATAGACTTTCCCTAGGTGGATGTTGACTGCATCATTCTCCTGCATCTCAAAGGTACTGGGGTGGCAAAAGAATGAGAGGAGAGACATACACAAAACACCTCGAGTGCATAAGTTGTAGTATTGGTGTTGCTAGCATACGCTGGAACACAACAAAATAACACGAGACGTGATAACTATTGCGTTGGGAAACGGGTTCGTACCTGGAACGCAGTAGGCGAAACATGATGCCAGAGGCTGGACCCTGGCCCTGCAAGAGGGGAGATAGGGAATTATGCAGCAGAGAGAGGAAGGAGGGGGGGGGGGGGGGAAATCGGAGTAGGATGGGATACTAGCGTGAGAGAGTGTGGGGAGGGTAATGCAAGTGCACAGCGAGACAATCATGACTAGTGCGCAGAAGATGGAGAGGGCAGGGTAGATAGAATTTTTGGGTTTGAGAAATAGCGGGAGGGGATGAGAGAGCGAACTCGCCCAGCGGTATCGCGTTGCGCGTAGGGTTACGCAACAAAGAGAGGCAGGGCAGGGGAAATTCGAGTAGGGTGCGAACAAGTGTGTCCGTGCAGCAGAGAGAGGGAGAATGGGGACAAAAATGCAGGTAGGTAGCGAGACAATCGTGACGGTTACGTAGCAGAGAATGGCAAGGCCCCAAAATCAGAGTAGGGTGCGAGACAAGCGTGAGGGAGTGGAAAGGGAGAGAGTGAGTCGATAGGTTTTTGGAAAATGGCAACGAGGCAATCGTGTAGGTTACACCACAAAGAGAGAGAGAGAGAGAGAGAGAGAGAGAGAGAGAGAGAGAGAGAGAGAGAGAGAGAGAGAGAGAGAGAGGGAGAGAGAGAGAGAGAGAGAGAGAGAGAGAGAGAGAGAGAGAGGAAGGGTACCTGGAAACTAGTTGCAGTAGAGCGACTCCACCAGGTTCCTGTTGACGTTGGGGTTGCCCCGCCGCACGTGGCTCAGAATGCACATGAACAGCACCGCCAGGCGCTGCGCGCTGTGATTCGGAGGGTGGTGGAGTGGTAGGGGAAAGAGATGGAACAGGGGTAGGGGTATGGGAGCGAGGACAGGAACGAGGATGAGAGGTGGGACAGGGGTTATGACAATGAAGGGCATACGAGGGGATGAAAGGATAAGTGACAGGGGATGAGGGTGAAGAACAGGGGAGAAGACAGCGTCTGATGGGGAGCGAGCATTCCGCAAGCGCATAGCGCTGGCCGCGAGAGAGGCGCGAGAGATAGAGGAAAGGGCGGACCAGGAGTGGAGGGTATGGGCTGCATATAGAGAATCAGATGAGGGGACGGGTTCAGGGAGTGATTGGGTTCAGGAGATGGAAGGGGACAGGGAGCAGCGGAGGGGGTTGAGTGCGATTGAGATGGAGGATGGGGAGGAAGGCGAGGAGAGGAAGCGGAGTGAGGAGAGCAAGAGGGTGGGGTTGATGGGGGGCCTTAGTGGCCGATTAGGTTCAGGTTTGGTGGGCCGAAGGGGGTCTGGTATGGTGGTGGATGTTGGTAGGCCTAATGATGAAGCAGAGGAGGATGAGGAGGAGGGAGATGGTGAGTGTAGCGAGCATAGTGACGATCATAGTGAGCAGCGGGAGAATGAGGAGTGGTCAGGTTCGGACAGGGGCTTGGCAGTGACCGTGGTTCGGCGGGAGTTTTGGCTCCAGAGCTTACACCCCAGAGGAGCTGGAGGGGTAATGACGTCACCCTTCTGGGCAGTTTCAGGGGTGATGATGCGTTAACTCCCCTGGGCAGATGGGGGGGCGAAGGGGAACTTACCCCGGTTTGGAGGGGTGAAGGGGAGATTACCCCCCAAGGAAGCGGGGACTGGGGAGAAGAGGCACAGAGGGAGAGGGAGGAAGAGGGGGAGGGGGTTTGGACACCTGTGCTAACCCCTCAGGGCAGTTGGAGGGGGGACATGTCAGGGAGCGAGAAAGGGAAGGGTCGGAAGGGGAAGGGTCTGTAATTGAGTTGCATCAGAGGGAGGGGGATTTGACAAGGGAGCTGGAAAGACAAGGGGGAGAGGGAAGGGGTTTTGACGCCTGAGTTGTCGCCTCAGGGGAGTTGGAGGGGAGAGTTTTTGGGGAGTGGGAGGAGGGAAGGGTGGGACGGGCTGGTGGGGGAGGGGTAGGTACGAGGATGAGAGGGGGAGTGAGGAGGGAAGTGAGAGGAGGAGTGAGGAGGGAAGTGAGAGGGGGAGTGAGGGGTCTAGGGGTGAAGAAGAGGAGAGGGAGAGGCAGTGGGAGGGTCTGAGGGACGGGGAAGAGGAGGGGAGTGTGAGAGACGAGGATGAGGAGATGGAGAGAGGGGAGAGTGAGGGGGAACGTGAGGGAGAGAGTGCGGAGGAAGAGAGGGAGAGACAATGGGCCGAGATGCATGCTGGTAGTGAGGAAGGGAGTGAGGATGGAAGTTGACGGTAGGATGGAGAGCGAAGATGAAGAAGTGGAAGAATGAGAGGTGACGGGGGCGAGGGAGTAAACAGAGAAGGGTTTGGGAAGACAAAGAGGAGGAGCAGGAGAAGGAGGAGGAACAGGAGGAGCAGTAGCAGGAGAAGGGATAATATTAGGAGGAACGTTTGAGTGAGGGCGAGTTGAGGGAAGAGGCAACGGGGGACGAGGATGGGGACAGGTCAAGGGCTCAAAGGGACAGGTGGTGATATTGGAAGTGAGAGACGCCCAAGGCAGAAAAGTTGAAGTGCAGTGAGTGGTGAGCGGTGAGCCCCCACGGGGGAGCAGTCACATGTTTCTGGAAGTCATCAAGGGCAGGGCAGTTCAAGTAAAGTGAAGTGAGGGAGTGGGCGCACCTTGACGATGTTGGTGAGTAGGTCATATGGCTCAAAGCGGAATGGCTGTGGGGCGAAGAAGCCTGCAAACACCTGCCGTAGTACCGGTGGGGAGGGAGAGGGGGGAGAGAGAGGAGAGAGAGAGAGAGAGAGAGAGAGAGAGAGAGAGAGAGAGAGAGAGAGAGAGAGAGAGAGAGAGAGAGAGAGAGAGAGAGAGAAAGAGAGAGAGAGAGAGAGAGAGTGGCGGGGTTGAGTAATAGCAAGGAAAGGGTGAGGTCACCGCTGAGCGCATAGCGCTGGCCGCGAGAGAGGCGCAATGCGCCCAACGGCAAGGATTCCGCAGGGCGAATGGCACTAGAGTGAGAGGCGCAATGCGCCCAGCGGTGAGCAATCCGCTGAGCGCATTGCTGGCCGCGAGAGAGGCACAATGCGCCCAGCGGTGAGCAATCCGTTGAGCGCATTGCTGGCCGCGAGAGAGGCGCAATGCGCCCAGCGGTGAGCAATACGCTGAGCGCATTGCCAGGGCGAGAGAGGCGCAATGCGCCCAGCGGTGAGCAATCCGCAGAGCGCATTGCTGGCCGCGAGAGAGGCGCAATGCGCCCAGCGGTGAGCGATCCGCTGAGCGCATTGCTGGCCGCGAGAGAGGCGCAATGCGCCCAGCGGTAAGCGATCCGCTGAGCGCATTGCTGGCCGCGAGAGAGGCGCAATGCGCCCAGTGGTGAGCGATCCGCTGAACGCATTGCTGGCCGCGAGAGAGGCGCAATGCGCCCAGCGGTGAGCGATCCGCTGAGCGCATTGCTGGCCGCGAGAGAGGCGCAATGCGCCCAGCGGTGAGCAATCCGCTGAGCGCATTGCTGGCCGCGAGAGAGGCGCAATGCGCCCAGCGGTGAGCAATCCGCTGAGCGCATTGCTGGCCGCGAGAGAGGCGCAATGCGCCCAGCGGTGAGCAATCCGCTGAGCGCATTGCTGGCCGCGAGAGAGGCGCAATGCGCCCAGCGGTGAGAAATCCGCTGAGCGCATTGCTGGCCGCGAGAGAGGCGGAATGCGCATAGCTTGGCGCATAGCGCTGGCCGCGAGATGCGCGCTACGCGCCCAGCGGCGAGCATTCCGATGGGCGCATAGCGCTGGCCGTGAGATGCGCGCTATCCGCCCAGCGGCGAGCATTCCACTGGCGCATAGCGCTGGCCGCGAGATGCGCGCTATGCGCCCAGCGGCGAGCATTCCGCTGGGCGCATAGCGCTGGCCGCGAGACAGGCGCTATGCGCCCAGCGGCAATCATTCAGAATTTCGAAGAATGGATAGATTCGAGTAGGTTCAGCATATAGGGAAGAGAAAGGGAGAGAGACGCACCTCTGATACGGATCAGCTGTAATTCGAGCTTCCGTGAATTTGATGGGGGTTAATAAATCTGCTAAGAAGTCCTTACTAAGTTAGTGTCGAGAGTGATAGGGCTAGAGCAGGATGACGGGGAGCTATCTGGTGGGGCCACGGGGAACTTGTAGCTTTGCAGGTTGGGTTGTTCTTAGTGTGCACGCGGTGTACAACACGCTTGGTTCTGGTTCGGTTGAGTGGCGAACGTGGTTCAGGAGGACGTGGGTGTCAAAATAAGCGAGAGTGAGCTAAGTTTTAACTAGGGCCTAGGCTTAGGAGCCTAGGCCCAACTTAGGTATCGAGTGAGTTTGGGCAAGGGTGAGAGGATCGAGGAAGTTGGAAAGGAGAAAAGATGGGTTTCACTATAGGTTCAAGGAACATATAGCATAGGAAACAAATGAAATTGGTGCACCACCTACAAAGCACAATAACTACACTACAACTACAAGCAGTTATAAAATATGTCAATTATATTTCGACACGCCCCCATAAGTGCTTGTAGGTAGAAGTATAGTTACGCCCCCTGAGGGGGTACACCATGCAAAATAACAAGCAACAGCAGGTACTGCAGGCGGGCTAACTCTGGATGGTCACCCACTCCATCTCCTCACCCTCCTCCTTCCCCTCCCCCACACTGCTACAGGAGCAGCAGAGAGGGGGGGGAAAGAGGAGAGGTGGAGGGACGGCTGCTGGTTGCCTCACACCCGCCACCTCGGTGCCAATCCCCCTTCTCCCCCACACCCTCACACCCTCCCCCCCAGCGGCAGCTGCAGCAATGGGAACGAAAGGAGGAGGAGGGGAAGGGAAGGAAATGACCCAAAACTCCAACACCCGCCACCCCCATACCCTCCTCCCCACGGCTGCAGGGAGACAAAGGAGGAGGGGGGTGGGCGGGAAGAAAGCCGCAGAGCGGTTACTATATGTTGGCGCAGGTAGGTCAGGGGCGGCTGCAGTGAGGACGGGTGCGGAAAGGCCCGTCGTGTGCCAAGGGGCGCATGACGGGTAAGTTTAAGAGTAGGGCCCGTTTGTGTGCCTCGGGGCGCACGACGAGCAGGGCACCGTCGCGTGCCACGGGGCGTACGACGGGCAGGTTTAGGGCACCGTCGCGTGCCACGGGGCGCGCGACGGGCAGAGAAAGAGTCACACGCCAACCGGGGGCGGGACTAGAAGAAAATCGCCACGCGCCCTAGGCGCGCGACCGGAAAAGTAGCAGCGGAAGCTTAAGGCGGGCCCACACAGGCCAGATCGAAACGTGCTCTGAATCCATGTCAAAATAAGCGAGAGTGAGCTAAGTTTTAACTAGGCATAGGCTTAGGAGCCTAGGCCCAACTTAGGTATCGAGTGAGTTTGGGCAAGGGTGAGAGGATCGAGGAAGTTGGAAAGGAGAAAAGATGGGTTTCACTATAGGTTCAAGGAACATATAGCATAGGAAACAAATGAAATTGGTGCACCACCTACAAAGCACAATAACTACACTACAACTACAAGCAGTTATAAAATATGTCAATTATATTTCGACAGTGGGTGCATCACAACTCGTGGATTGGTTTGGCGCGAGCGGGAAACCGTCAAATCAAGGTCATGTCAGAGCTGATTTCATCAAAGTTACCATTCGCGTGATGGGCTGCTAGTGTATGGTTACCAAACGTGTTAAGCTAGTTACCAAACGCGTTAAGCGAGTTACCAAGTACGTTAAGCGGGTTACCAAACGCGATGAAATCGTTATCGTACGCGTTACAGTGCCCCATGTAAGTTACCATTCACATATTTTCTCTAAAACAATTAACGCGTTCACAAATAGCGCGTAAAATTGACATTTGCCCCTCTCCCGCAACATTCCCCCGAGGCCCAAGCCCTTCACTTGACATGGCACAGGCAGGGCTTGCTGGGACGGGCAGCCATCCGCTCTCCCCCTTCCCGCTCCGCTTCATTTCTTCATCGCTCACGCACGCCACACCGACGGAGCGCAGTAATGGTGGTGTGGGAATTTGCTGATTGCTGCTGGTGTGCCTTACAGCCTGAGTTGTGTGTCACAATGGTAACGCCCATTGTCGTAGCCCGTGGATACACCCGCACGGTCGTACCAAGTTTTCAAGTCTCGTTGCTCGAACACGTGGTGCATAGGAAATGAGAAATGATGTGTTGGAGCTCTTGCATTCAAGTTAATCCATAGCTGTATTTCCTGCGACGCTTCTCCGTTCGACGCGCTGCCATGGCGCTGCGAGAAGCTGCCGACCGTCCACGATGGTTATGGCTGACGATCGTGCTGTCCTCGGCGGTCCACGTCAGCGCCGTGCCAAGCGCTAACGAAAGTATGCAAGACCGCTGTTCAGCACGAGGCTCGTCGCGTCTTTTAGTAGACAATTATTTAGACGTCTCAAAAGTCGCACTGCTGCGGCTGCTGGGGCTTGGCGTAAAAAGGGTATCGTTTTCAGATGCGCGACATACGCCGTGTTTCGATCCGCGACTCGTAGGGGCGACGATCCGGCCCTGTGTAACAAGTGACCAACGTAGCGATATCATCCAGTTTGATTCGAACCGGAATTGCGGACGCACCTTTCCAACTACGACGTTCTCTAGCTATAGACTATGCCCCCCCTCTTTCCCTGCTCGTTCCCCCTCTTTCGAGTTCCCGTACTCCTCCTTATTCCCCTTATTCACCCGAATCCCGTCTATCCTCATAATCCTGTTTATCCTCCGTGAATCCCTAGGCGCCAGCGTTCAGAGCGATTCTCCAGCGCCGCGGGTCCACGTGGAGGGCAGAGTGGCGGAGTTCGAGGGCGCTCTCAACTACCACGTGCCCTCGCTTTACAGGTCGACTCCTGATGCCTCAGCCTGTATACGAGTTTTGCTTTCTAGATTTCTCGCTTCCGGTTTCGTTACAGCTTTCCAAAGTGATAGCACTTTCCAAGAGTTTTAAAGTGATTCCGTTACAGCTATTTTAGGGTTTCATGGTGTTGTCGTAGAACAAATTTCGTTTCTTACTGGGTGAGTTGCAAGCCGATTTCAGCTGCCACGTGGCAGTGATCTACAGGGCTGTTGGAGATAACATAAAAAAACAGTTATAGATGACTTCGAGATCAGCTATATTGCTACATGCCAACGCCGTTACAGTTTAATCCGTGCTGCTAAAGCAGAAATCTAATGTGGGAGAGAGCTGAATACGCATGTCTCTTCTCGCACTCCCCTTTGCTTCTCACTCACCCCTCTCGCCCCCCTCTCTCGTTCCCCTCAACCACCCACAGGAACCACCCTGAGCGATCCGCCCTGAAAATTCACCCGCTTGACTTCCCCCTGGACCTCACTCATCTACCCAACATAATGATGGGTTACTTCGAACACCTACCCCGCCACCCTCCGCCCTCGGACCCCAGGAGCCCTCTCCTTCTCGCCTGCCACGGCCCGCCCTGCCCCTCCTTTGGCGCCTGCTCGGCGCGCTTCCCCAACGTGCAGGCCTGCTGGAACCCCCACCTGGTTGATGAACCTGAGGACACACCCATTCCCCCTATAAACTGCCCCTTTAAGGGCACCAGTGGCGGGGAGAGTGGGAGAGGGGAGTTTGACCCGGAGTGCTCCCATCGGGAGGACTTCACATCGCACGGGGGGTCGGCGCTGCAGGTATTTGAGAGTCTCTGTTGCGAATCCTCAAGAGGGAGAGAGAGGGAGGGAAGGGGAGGGGGAGCGGGGGAGGGAGGGGGAGGAGGAGGGGGGAGGGGAGTTTGACCCGGAGTGCTCCCATTGGGAGGACCAACGTGTTTGTCCTCCAGATGATTGACTTACCTGTCAATGTCTTTAGAGGCGCCTCGAAAGTCGTTTCTTACATGGTGGCGCCTTAACGAACGTTTCTTCACCTGCTATGTTTCTATTGGGTGGGCGACACTGCAGGTGATGCGGCTGGAGGACGTGTTTGTGACGGACAACGGCTTTGCTGTCAACCTCTATTGATGTGCCTCAGAATTCGTTGTCGTTTCTTACACTCGTTTCCTATTGGGCGGGCGGTGCTGCAGGTGATGCGGCTGGAGGATGTGTTTGTGACGGACAATGGATTCGCTGTCAACCAATCCCATGTGTTCGTGCGCAACGGGTGCCGACGGTTCTGGAGAAAGGTGAAAGGTGTGGGAGGGTCAGCGTTGGGTGCGGGGTGTGGGAGGGGAAGGGGTAGGTGAGGGGCGTGGGAAGGAAGGCGAGGGAAAGGGTTGTGGGAGGGTAAGGTAGGACAGGACAGGGGAGTTGTGAGACGTTTCAAGATAGGCGAGGGGATGCAAGCACAAGTGCGTGCCAACGGTTCTGAGAGGCAGGTGATGGGGAGTGGGAGAGCTGATGGTAAGGGCTGACATGAGTCATGCAGTGTTGAGAATGTAATGTAATATGCTGTATGCATTATATTACATTATAATGCATTAGGATGCATTATAGTGCACTATACAGAAAGTCATACACTTTATGCTCTTGCAGTATGGAACACGCAGTATGCTATGCAAGATAAATCATGCATTACGCATGGAATATGATGCATGCACTATGCATGTACGAGCATTCAACCGGGCGCACGTCAGGTTCAAGAACTCGTGCCCCTTCGTTGCTCATCCCGTGCCGTGCCGTGCCGTGCCGTGCCCCCACCCCAGCAACGTGCAATGGCACCCACTGCCATACAGAACGCCACATTCTTCATGCGGCCAAACCCACCCCCATCCCACCTTTGCCCCTTCTACCCCCAGACCAGGTACAAGCAAGGGCACATGGCGCAGCACGTGCAGGGAGCGGCGTTCAACTGGGCGCACCTGATGGGCAAGAACTTCTTCCACTTTACTGTCGAGCTCGTCCCGCTCTTCCTCGTCGTCGCTCCCCTCATGCCCACGCTCAGAACGCTGCCGATAATCCTCAGGAAACCCCAGGTGGATTCCAGGAAGTTGCATGGGCTTGATTCTTTCACTAGTCGCTCACAGATTGCTCCAGTTCACACAATGCCTCTGACTGTGTGGGAGACAGCCCTCATTGTTGCTTCATCCACTCCTCACACGGTCTTAATCGCTGCTCGCTCACTGGCTTCGCCGTCTGTCTCTTCTTTCCCTCCTGTGCGTGCGTGTGTGCATCGCCCGCCTCCCTCTCTCAGTGGCTGTACTGCGATAAGTGGGCGGTGTCTCCTCTCGCTCTGCAGCGAGACAACATGCGCATGTTATCTAAACACACCCTTGACCTCCCCTCTTCCTCTCCCTAACTCCTTCCTCTCGCCTCTCCATGCACCCATCAGTGGCTGTACTACTACAAGTGGGCGGCCCCTCTATTGAGGCGCCTCAAAAGGCACCTGTACTGGGCATAGAGCGAGACACCATGCGCAATCTGCCCATCTACAATCTTGACCTCCCCCCTTTCTCTCTCAAACTATTCCTTCTCTCCCCTGTGCGTGTGTCCCTCTCGCTCAGTGGCTGTACTACGACAAGTGGGCGGCACCTCTAATGGGAATAGAGCGAGACACCATGCGCATGCTGCCCATCTATTTCAATGACCTCATTCATGTCGACGTGCTTTACCAGGTAACGCGGTTACCACGTAACGTGGTTATTACGAAATTTGCTTACATATGAGTTTGTGGTGATTTCTGTAACATACTTACTCTCTGATGCTGCCCATCTATTTCAATGACTTCATCCACCCACGTTGACGTGCTGTCCATGTAATGTGATTACCTAGGTAACGCGTTACCAGGTAATGTACTTTAAATGAGCTTGTCTCAATATTGTGCTGCCCATTTACTTCAATGACCTCATCCACATTGATGTGCTGTAACTGGTAACGCGGTTACCACATAACCTGGCTACTGAGCTCTGCTTCTCCACCCACACCATGCTCTCAAGCACGACTTCCTGCATCCCCAACCGCCCTCCCCCCACCCTGCATACAAAGACTGCGACCATCCCTGCCCCTCCCGCTGGCAATTGCTGCGCAGTACCCACCTGCTGCACCCCTCTTCAACCCGCCTTTCTCCCTCACCCCTCCCATTTCTTCCCCTCCCCAACACCCCCCTCACCCGCCCTCCTCACCAGCCCATCTACGGCGACCATCCCAGCCATTCACTCTGGCAGCTGCTGCAGCGCCGCCACCTCCTGCACCCCACTGGCCTCCCCCTCTTCAAACCCCTCTCCTCCCCCACCTCTCCCATTTCTTCCCCACTTGACCCCCTGCTTCCCTCTCCACCAGTCCATATACCAGGGCTGCGACCGTCCCACCGGTCTCTCTGGCTGTTGCTGCGGCGCACCCACCTCCTCCACCTCGCCAGAATCCCCATCTTCAACCTCCTTCCCCCCCCCCACCTCCCTTTCTTCCCCCCCCCCAACCTCCCCCCCCCCCCAACTTCCTCCCCTCCCTCCAGCCCATATAACAGGACTGCGGCCATCCCAGCCCGTCGCTCTGGCAACTCCCAAGGCGCCGCCACCTGCTGCACCCACCTGTCCCCCCCTCTTCAACCCCCTTCCCCTTTCCTCCCCCACCTCCCCCACCTCCGCCACCTCCCTCCCCCACCAGCCCATATACCAAGACTGCGACCGTCCCAGCCCGTCGCTCTGGCAACTCCTGCGCAGGCGCCACCTCCTCCACCCCTCTGGCCTCCCTCTCTTCAACCGTGACTGGACCTACCGTCAACATTATGCCCCCCTCTCTGCCTCTGAGGCGCGCGCCTTCCCACCCGACTGGCTGGTGGTGCTGGCGAGTCGGCCGGAGGGCGGGGCGAGGGCGCTGGTGAATAAAGGCGAGGTGGAGGCCATGCTGGTGCAGCGGTTTGGGCGAGAGAGGGTGGTGGTGTTTGACGGCTCGATGCCCATTCTGCAAGGTGTGTTGAATTGGGGAAGGTGATCCCAATTCGCCTGCGGTTGCATGGCTGTGGCAATGTTTTGTTCTTGCCTGTTCATGAGTGCAACAATGCAATGCAGCGCTGGCTATTCATGTCCTTGTTTTCTAATCCATGACTGCCTTTTTTGTCACTATCCACCTCCATGGCACGTTGCTCTTTCCCAGCAAGTACAAACAACTAGCGAAGGGTTTGACAGGCAACATCAAATCATATCTCTCATACTGTACACAACCGTTGGTGGCTTATCCTGAAACCCCCCCTCTCCTCTTGTCTTCACTTTCCCTGGTTCCCTTCCTCCACCCAATCCCCCTCTTTCCCCTCCTCCCCTCTACTTCCCCTGCTTCCCCTGCTCCTCCTCCTCCCTGCCTCCCCCTTTGCCCCCGTCTTCAACCCATCCCCTCAGCCCGGTCGTTGTTCCATCAGACCCGCTTCCTCCTGGGGGTGCACGGAGCAGCGCTCACCAACACCATATTCATGCCCGAGGGGGCCGCGCTGCTCGAGATGCGCCCGAGGGACTGTCACATCACCGTCTTCCACCCACTTGCTGCCGCCTGTTCTATCGCATACCACCTGCTGCTTGCTCAGGGGAATTGCTCTTCTCCTGCGGTGGTGGATTTGCCTAGTGTGGCTCGGGTGATTGATATGGTTCATACGCGCTTACAAAGGGGGGATGAGGGGGTTTTGTTGGATATGAATGATGCAGTAAGTCATAATGAAAATACTGCAACAAGAAAATGAAGCATTTTTTCAAACCTACGGTAATTTTCTGCTACAGATAACTTTCTGCTAGAAGGTTTTGTGGTATGGCAGTAAGACCATTTTACACCTGTCCACAATTCCTACAACAGAATGACAATGACGAGTTTCTTTTCTATTGCGATTGTCGTAATAGGCTCCTCAGACCTTCTCCAATCGTTTAGGAAACTATAAGGAATTTTCTCGATATTCCTTAGCGCACCTTGCAACATCGCGTACAATAGCAGCCGTTGTTCGCCCGTTACTGCTAACGGGGCTTCGCCGACTTCGCGCGCACTGTTTCACCAAACCTCGCACTGCTGGCCTGGCAGTATCGGCCTACGCTTCGGGACTAGCCCGAACCTCGCTTCCAGCATAGCACTAGCTAGCTCGCACGCACCACGTTACCGTTTGCATGTTTCGCGTATAAATGTTCGCTCATGCCTTCGCTCACATTTCGTACTCGTTTGACACCTTAGTGCCAGGCCCTCAGATTGGTTTCAGGGCATGCTGATGGATCAACGTGCTCTGCCCAAAGTAGTGACCAAATCAGCGTTGGGGGTGAAGTTTATGCTGATTTTGTCAGGGTAAAATTTCATGGTTAACTGATTTATAAGTGTAGGAATTAAGTTTGAACTTCGTAATCAGTATTTCTAACGTAGCTGTCTGAGGCTTTGTCCTGTTGTTAGAGAGGTCACGGGTTCAAGTCCCGTCAGTGAGAGGCTTACTAGTGCGTGGCAGTGGTTTTCGGCCTAATCCCACGTCCGCGCACTCCATGTCTTGGTAAGTCCGAATCAGTGTGACTCAGTGTACTATACTGATGGTTCATTGTCACTGGTACACCTATACGCTAATTCGTCAGGGTAGTCCTGTGAAGAATAAGGAATGAATGAACTAGCAAGCAGGTGAGTACAAGTAGGAAAACATAGAAGTGTTGTACCCCATATTGTCTACCCCACTACAGCCTACACAGACTATAGCATATGAGTTTGACACACCCCCATAGGCAAAGTGGGGGAGAACAAGAGGTCACAAGACCAGTTAAGCAAAGCAAAGCAAGCTCAGGGTGGATCACAACGTCACCACACAATCCGAGCACAAGAGCAAGGCCAAAAGGCCAGTTCACATGCAAGATCATATATAAAGGTAAACAAGCAAGTGCAGGTATAGAAAGATCACAGTACAAGCAAGGTCAAGAAGTGAGCAAGTGAGGCCAAGTAGGCACAAGACCTAGCATCGTACAGAAGCGCTGATGATCACCAGGCGCAAGTGCCTTGGTAAAGATATCAGCAGTGTTGGCCTCAGAGGCCACGTAAGCAAGGCGCAGCTGACCACGCTGCTGCAGCTCACGAGCAAGGAAGTAGCGGAGAGCAATGTGCTTCGTTCTGTGCTCCAGTCTGTGCTCCCGACACAAGGCTAGCATGGCCTTGTTGTCTACGTACAGAACTGGGGGAGAACGAGGCGGCTCTCCTAGGTCAGTCAGCAGGTAGGTGAGCCAGCGTAGCTCCTGTGCAGCCATGGCCCTCGCGTAGATCTCAGCCTCACAACTGGAGCCGAGAGCAGAAGACGAGCGGGTAGACCGCCACGAAACAGAGCCGGAGCCAAGGCTGAAGATGTAACCCTGTAACGACCGCTGCGTAGCCTGGTCATCAGCCCAAGAAGCGTCTGCGTGACCAGTGAGGACCACTGGACGTCGCCCTCCAAGCACTAGCCCCATGCCCGACGTACTGCACAAGTAGCGCAACACCCTCTTCGCTGTAGCCATGTGCTCTGGTCGGTGTCTCCCAGGAGCAACATAGCGTGCGAGGATGCTAAGAGGGTATGCAAGGTCAGGTCGAGTGCTGGTACATGAGGCAGCCAACAAGCTCTGGGTACGGGCCACTCGGCTCTACGGACTCATCCGAAGGCAGAGCTGAGAGCGAGTGGCGAGTAGACAGAGGAGTGGCCTGAGGCGAGGAGTACGTGAAGTCGAAGCGCTGAAGGACCTGCTGCACCATGTGTGACTGAGTCAGGGTAATGGTGCGGCGTGCTCTGTCCCGGGAGATCTGCATGTCAGAACATCATAGCTTATGCATTTTGTGTAGGCTATAGTGTGGTAGCCCATAAGGGGTACAACCCAATTAGGGTTAGTACTTGTACCAACTCTTGCATAGTCCAATTTATTCTCGTTATAGTTTTCTCATGGTATCGAGCAGGTTCCCTCGTGGGAACTCTTCCTAGGGCCCACCGATTCGATATATTTTTTTTCCTGCCCGGAGCGCACTCACCCCTTGCCCGAGTCGCGCTCCCCTCTCTCGATCCCGTCGCGCCGCCCTAGCGGCTGCGTCGAGCCGCCCTTGCGGCCCCGATCCGCCGCCCTAGCGGCCCCGTCGCCTACCTCTGCAGCCCCGGCGCCGCCCTTCCCGGCCCTGATCCGCCGCCCTGCGACCCCGTCGCCTACCCCGCGGCCCTGGCGCCGCCCTTCCCGGCCCCGATCCGCCGCCCTGCGACCCCATCGCCTACCCCGCGGCCTTGGCGCTGCCCTTCCCAGACCCGATCCGCCGCCCTGCGGCCCCGTCGCCTACCCCGCGGCCCCGGCGCCGCCCTTCCCGGCCTTGGCGCCGCCCTTCCCGACCCAGAACCGCCTCTGCTGGTCCCGTCGCCTACCTGCGGCCCCGGCGCTCCCCTTCCCGGCCCCGTCGCCTACCTTTGCGGTCCCCGTGCCGCCTCTGCCGGCCCCGCCGCTGTCCCCACGCGGCTCCGCCGTCACCACCGAGCCGCCGGCGCCGCCACCTGCTGCCGAGCCGCCCGCCACCCGAGCCGCCGCACCACGCCGAGCCGCCCGAGCTGCCGTGTCGCCGAGCCGCCCAAGCGCCCGAGCCGCCTGAGCCGCCCGAGCCGCCGAGTCGCCAAAGCCGCCCGAGCCGCCCGAGCCGCCCGAGTCGCCGAGCTATCTGTGCCGCCGAGTCGCCGAGCCGCAGTTGTTGCCGAGCCGCCGAGCAGCCGAGGCGCCGAGCCGCCCGAGCCGCCCTGTCCGGTAAGAGCAGCGCCGCTATTACTGCACTGCCCCTACCCTACTCTTCGCGCTGCTAGTCTACTACAGTCATGGCTACCCCTAGTGTCCTCGCTTTTGACGCTGAGGGTTGGGCTATTGACTTTGACGTCTGGCTAGATGATCTGCAGCTTTTCCTACAGTGCGATAGGGCAGACGGTCTCTCCCTCTTTGACCTTACCTCTGGCGCCTCTCCTGCCCCTACTGGTGATACTGACGCCACTGTTCGCTCACAGTGGGCCACACGTGATGCTGCTGCACATCTTGCTGTGCGTCGCCACCTACCTACCTCTGAGCGTGCGCACTTTAGCCAGTACAAGAGTGCTCAGACCATGTACGACGTGTCAGAATCTTAGCTTGGCTAAGGAGCCATAGCTAGTGAGAAGTTCGAGTGAGTTTGAGTTAGGAGAGTCGAGAAAGTTGAAAAGAGAAGAGGAGTGGTTTCACTATAGAGCGAGCAGTACATATAGGCAAGATGAAAGGTGCACCACCAAAACAGAACATTATATAACTACACTAGTCTACACTACAGGCAATTACAAAACAATATATAGATTTATATATTATTCTGACACGCCCCCATAAGTGCCTGTAGGGAAGAATATGCAGTCAACGCCCCCATAATGGGGTACACCAAGCAGAGTGCAGTTGAAGTAGCAGCAGTAGGCAGGAGCAGTGACAACCAGTGCAGAAAACAGAGAACAGAAGGGAGAGAGGAGAGAGAGAGGGAGAGAGAGGAGAGGAGGTGGTAGGCTCTGGTTGGTCACCCTCTACATCCCCTCACCCTCCCCCTCCCCCTCCCCATCCCCCTCACACTGCTGCAGGAGCAGCAGAGGGGGGGGGGGGGGGGGGGGCAAACGGAGGAGAATGGGGCCGTAGGGCCAGGGGACCAGACATCACCCATCACCCCCACACCCGCCACCCCCAGTCCCTCCCCGGGCTCCCCCACACTCCCACACCCTCCCCCCCAGCGGCAGCAGCAGCAGAGGGAACAAAAGGAGGAGGAGAAGAGGGGGGGGGGGAGGGGGGGGGGCGACGCACGGCCTCCCCGGGCGCCAAAGCAAACGGCAGAGGGGGCGACGACTGCCCCCCCTTTTCAGGTCACGGCCCCCGAAGGAGCCGCGACAGGTGACGGGAAGAAGGGGGGGGGGGGGGGTGCACGTGCCCCCGGTGTGCCGTAGCTGGTGACGAGGCATGGCCGGGACGGGGTCGGGACCGCAGGTGTAGGAGACGGGCGGCTCACGGGCGGGCGGGTGGCTCGCGGACTAGCGGCTCAGAGGCGGCGGCTCACGGGCGGGCGGCGCATGGGCGGGCGGTGCACGGGCGGGCGGCCCACGGGTGGCGCCGGCTCACGGGCGGGCGGCTCACGGGCGGGCGGCGCACGGGCGGGCGGCTCACGGACGGGCGGCGCACGGGCGGCGAGGCCGCAGTGAAGGGCGGCGAGACCGCGACGTAGGGCGGCGGGGCCGCGACAGTAGAGAGGCGGCGAGGCCGCGACAGAAGGGCACACCACGGGGCGTGCATGTTACTCAGTAGCAGCGGAAGCATTAAAGTGGGGCCCACAGGTCAGGACCTTGTCGCTCTAATACCATGTCAGAATCTTAGCTTGGCTAAGGAGCCATAGCTAGTGAGAAGTTCGAGTGAGTTTGAGTTAGGAGAGTCGAGAAAGTTGAAAAGAGAAGAGGAGTGGTTTCACTATAGAGCGAGCAGTACATATAGGCAAGATGAAAGGTGCACCACCAAAACATAACATTATATAACTACACTAGTCTACACTACAGGCAATTACAAAACAATATATAGATTTATATATTATTCTGACACGACGTTGTAGTTGCACGCTACTCCTCCCCTGCCATTGCTGCACTGAGCCGCCTCATGCTATCGCACCTCTTCCCTGACCTTGCTGCCTTCCCCACAGTCGCTGACCTCATAACGCACCTCCGCACTAGTGACACTCGCTACCGCGCTG